GACAAATAATGAGTAATTCAGAACATTGTTCTTATGGATACAATTTTGATGGATTTGGGGTTATGTTTCAGATTTACGTAGATATAATTCCGCATGATAAGCTAAAGTCTGGTACATGACTTTGTGAATATACCGGTAATAGTGTCATAAACCCTCATGGCAAGAGCCGCCATCGATTCGTTGGTTTCGTCGCGTATCCAAAAGAATACCCCTTGATTATGTTTTATTGATTGTTGTTACATTTCAAAATGTTTGAATTAAGTATTTTGCCGTGGAAGATGACAATTAATATTGCAGTAAAACTATATTAGTATACAAAGTTTAAACCGAAGCTTGCTTTTTTAATGCTCAATATGTCCCTCGATAAACCTAAACATTTCACAAATTTCTATTTATCGTAATTATTCAGGTGAGATGCTAATATTAGAATTACGCCACAAGAAGCATTACGTCATCCATATTCTACTAAAGATAAATCTGGATCGTCGTTATCCTCGCACAAGAATCAGGATCAAGAATTGTCATTTTACGTTTTTAATATTTCGGTTCTGGTTATTGCTTATTGGTTCCGTATAGGACTATAGGTCAATTTGAACACTTCCGAAAATTATAGTCTATTCGCCAGTCTCTTCAAGCAATTCGTTACAATGAGCTTGTAAATTCAGGTCATTCGCTAACCCTTTTTTCCTTAAATGTCGATATGCTGATATCCCCGCGACAGAACGCGCAATCGTAGATTGACATTGAATAGACGCTATCGCAATATATATATATATATAATAATAAACAATATATTCCTCCGGAAACTGAACTAGCCATTGCCGAATTTTCATAATCAGCAACACTAGTACTTCAACTATTTTTTACATTTTCTTGGTGTTTATCAATTGAGCCATAGCGATGAAGTTTTTGAATTAAACAACACGGGATATCTATTTTTTTTACACCGATGACTTTTGAAGAAATTGTACCGTATAAAGTTGAATATTATTTATGTTTATACCTGAGAATGCAGTCAACGGTCAAAAAAAAATTGTAACAATTATCTATATCAGGCATCAGCGGGACGTGGAAATGTTCCGGTGTTCAGATCTAACAGTTGTTTATTGCACACATTGGAAACTTTTATTTTGGGGCTCGAAAAGCACGGCCTCACTAATGCCCAATAACTCAGAGCCATAGAGGAAAATCATATTCTGTGTGCACTAATTCCATATGGTGAATTTGAAAGCTTTAAATACAGCATTGCTGCGTCGCCGATGGGTAGACCAGTAAAATAATGCAAAATGGTATAATATTATTGCAATTAGGAAATGCAGCCAATCACGCGTAGAGTAATATCTCCTACTACGGCTCCGGTTTACAGGGTGTAACTGAAATCGTGTCTGTTCTTTTGTGCCCCCAAATGAATACCTTTAATACATGCACTAACAATTTACAGTATATACTTCAATATCAAAACTGTAATGATCCCGCCGATGCACGCACAGTACTCTGCAATCTCAAGGACCGTACAACAAGTTGAAAGAAACTTTATTCCGTTCGCAGTTCACAAGGTGTAGATGCGTTATTTGGGGTGCATGCTTAAATACAACTAGTGTTGATGTCAGTGTTAGCTTTAGCGATGTTATGTTGTACAGTCTTATTGATAAATTGATTGTTTTTGACAAGGATTGAAATTAATTCAAAATAAATAAATAAGAGATATATAGATATATCAAAATACAGCAATCCTCAAAATCTAATCGGCCAATATTTATTTGAATAAACCTAATATTCTAATTATAAAATTTCCACCCGAGAATAATTTAGGCATAACCCAAAATACAGGAAAACCCATCGACACTAAATTCTATAGACCCACTTCCCTATCTTCTTCAATCTTCGACACGCTTCCCTATATCTGCCCTACTGTTCTATCTCTCTCAACCTTTCTATCCTCGACCCATTGCCTATCTATCTCAACCTTCCTACCCTTTAACCACTGCCTACCTTTTTATTCTCGACCCCAACCTCTCCATATTCGACCCACTACCTATTTCCTCTGCTGGAACCGCTGCATTCCCTCTAACTTCCTATCCTCGACCCACCGCCCTAAACTTACCTACACTTCCCCCTACCTAGCCGCGCTCTGCCCACGCTCCGATCAGCACTCTTGTTTGTTTGTGATAATGCAAACTTTCAGGTTTCATACGGCTCAAGTATGCCAATGAAGGTGCGTCGTCGAAAAAAGCCTATGAGGTTGACGGCATTCGTGATATATTATTATGGGTATATTTGAATATGGAACAAACGTATAGCTCCAGTGAGTGTAAATGATGACAAAAATGTTTGAAATCTTTGAAAGACACTAATTTACATCATTTGCCGGATCATTTAAATGTAGGTTTCAATCCCAACTGGTAGTCAATCGCCATAATTGGTAGCTTAAACATTTGCTACTTGTTAGCCACTGATGTCTGCTTGAATTAAAGAACAGCAGTTCTGAAAATATTAACAACTGTATCTCACAATACACAAACGACAATACAACTTTTAGTGTAAGCCTACGAGGTATAGATGAAACCTTGAAGAATTCAAACGATATGAACAGATCACAGGTCAAAAATTGAACGAACACAAAACACCGATTTTATGCTCAAAAGATACCACAAATCGCAATCTTCAACATACGATCTATTCAAAATATTTAATGAACCAAATCAAAGTATTAGGCCAATATTTTGGAGGAAATCAACGAAACTTGGACCGAAAATAATAACAAAGCGAAGGGGAACTTACATGAATACAAAACGAGAATATCGGTAGGGTACCGAAGACTTATCGGTCGAGACTTCGGTTTCGATTCATGACTCCATAGTGACACCGCGTGTCCCATCACTAATTAATTAATAACTCGCTAATTATACGACATAATTCATCCAAAATTCATAGGCTTCTGGCCCGAGATATGATGAATGCACATGCAAGCAGATTCAGATTCAACGCCTTCGTGAGATATCGCGTGCATCAAACAGACAGACAAAGATCTAAAGATCGATAAGTAACAAGGAACTTGACAGGAATAAAGGAACTTGAATTTTGAACTCCCAAAGTATGTCCCCAGTATTATACAACGCTAGAGTAATAACAATGCCATCTAAAATACAGAATATGGTACTCTCTGACTATGTGGGGCGTGGGCCAAGATGGAGGACACCGAAACTTTGTATGGTATGTATACTAGGTTAGGGTCAGGCCATAATTTCAGGTACAAATATTACGGGAATCACTTGGCTAATCTTCGAACCTGCAATAGAACTAAAATAAGAAAATTGGAAAACAATTATGACCTAACCCTAAACTGGTACGCATACTACGTTCCGGTGTCCACCATCTTGGTTCACATATTTCGGAAGTACCCAAAATATTCGGACAAACTAATATTTGAATATATAGGGGCACCGAAACCATACAGATAATTGCGCATAAAGGCACACGTTGAAAGCTTTTTTTGGGAGCTCGAAGAACATGGACTCACTAATGCCCGCGTACTGCATCACCGCGTCGTCGATGGCAATCTGCAATCTCAAAAGCAGTACACTGAGTTGAAAGAAAAATTATTCTATTCGCAGCTCGCAAGGTGTATTTGCGTTATTTGAGATGCAAAAATCGTAACAACCAGAACGCAACTAATTTGGGAAAATGGTTTTAGAAAATCTGAAAATCACCCCCAAAATACACTGATTTTACTTTTTCATAACCCACGTGTAAGGCGCGATAACGCGCAAAACGTCGTTGTGTGACGTAAATATTTATCGTACTGAAGCCAGACACCAGACACGTGACCAAACAGCTGTTCAGCCACAACCGTTGGGTACCAAGGGTAGAGTACTCCACCATGCCCGTATTTGGGTAGGAAAGATAGGGTAGGGTACTCTACCCTTATCATTCTAAGAGGTTCTAATTATATTTCCGAAATATTAATATAAATAAAATGAATTGTTACAATAGACGACGCTAAAATCAATTATTACTTTTTAATAACAACTGTTTGATTAATTAAAAAAAATCGTGTTTTTGAAAGTTTAACCTGTCGGCACACGCCGGGACTTGAAAACCCTTTTCAAAATAAGCATGGAAAATGTTATAATGATTAGGTAAGGACGTTTTCCCGAAATTTGATCCCATTTTACGTCTATTTTGAGAGAGTCTTGAAGTGTTAACTCTTATAAAGTGGTTTACGTCATTAAGCCCCTAGCGCCCGGCCCGAGTTGGCGCTAGATCAAGTCAAACTTATATACAAAAAAGGCGAAAATTTACTCAAAACTTGGCGACTAATAACTACTTTAAACACATACTATAAAATTGTATATAGGATACTGGTTAAGCGGCTCGAGCCGATACTAAATAATGTTATAAGCAAAACGCAAAAATGCTCACTCCCACTAAGCATCGAAGATGTTCAATACAATACGGACGCTATCGTAAGGCACTGTAAAATGAACAATATTCCTAGGACAATAATTCTAATAGATGATTTAAAAGTTCTCGACATGGTCAATCATGGTTCTCTGTTTAAAATACTGCATCAAATTGGAATCAGAAATAGGACCTTCAACGTGATAAAAAGCATGTATAATATACAGAAATCAAAAGTAGGGTAGATGTAAATGGTAGGTTGTCCAAGGTAATAAAAATTCGACGAGAAATCAGGCAAGTTTGTCCGCTCATTATGATCCTATACGCCTTAAATACTGAATGAACCCTTTGCCAGATCGATAACAGTCAATAATGGCATACACGGGATAAAATTAGGAACTTTCGAACACAAACTGAATCAGTACGTGGACGATGTAACCTTCGCAGTTCGCGACCATGCATCAATTAGCGAAATATTGAAAGCAGTGAATATCGGTCATAAATCTGGCAACTACTTCGCGACTAGCTTTCCCGGTTTCTTTCGTTGGTTTGGTCATTATGATCCATAAAACCCTTGTATGGAATCTCTTCATGTATATTTATTTTGAAATGTATCCAAAAATAAGAATACACAAGGTTTGAATCATGATACCACTTCCCACAACACAAATACTGATAGCAACTATTTTGAGAGGAGATTTCAAGCTTAAATTGTTTAGCTTTAGGAAGAATACACAAGGTAGAATGAATGTCAACATATTGCTTGTTGTCGCACCTGAAAAAAAAAATGAATGCACACAATTTTTTGTACTAATTGTACGATCCCATATATATGTTATAAATTATTGATAAATATATGTCTGTTCTCCATATATAGTGTGATGAAAAACAAAAATTGGCGCTATAACTTCGGCTTTTTTTGGATATACAATTTTTTGATTGGACCCCAGTATGTTTTACTTATTGGGGGAAACTTACATCCTCCGTCACGAAGCAGTGTAAAATAATTTGAACTAAAACTGTAATTTTCATACGTACCAACAATTCCATAAACTTCCCGAATGTTTGTAACGTATATCACAAAACATAGAATCCCCGCCAAACTGACAAGCATTATTCCAATATGTCTGAACCAAGAAAACTTTTTCCTCGGAAACAGTATAAAATTGATAGCTTTTCTCATCTGAATATAAATAAATTGTTTTATATATCAGGTATATTTCGGGCAAATAACAAGTTAAATTAAACAAGATTGTTATCTTCTTATTACATATTATCATTGATATCGAATGTTAAAATCAACAACGTTCATCACGTTTAGTTTAAAAAATCGTTGTTTGATTTTTCGACAAGATAAAAAATCGTGATTTTGAGAGATTTTGGACTATTTGTACAAATTTATCATGATACACACGAGATAAGAGCTGTTAGTTAAAAACATCTTTCAAAGTGAACATTGTTCCTATTAAACTTACCGCAAATTGCTTTACTGGTACAGTGACCATTACAGTTAATGACACACATATCCTAACAAAAAGTGTAAGAAGATTGTCCTGGTCAGTTCGATTATAAGTCAAAAGTAATTCTGGTTCCAACCAATCTGAAATGTATATTAAAAAATACGATCATGAAATGAAGACATAGGACATTACTCAGTAACGTTATTACTCACTATAAAATGTTAAATAGCTGAATACCGCAGACAGTGAATACAAAGTAAAACATGTTGTAAATGCCGAAAAAGCCACATATTGCATTCTCGATGTTGATGGACTGTCAAAAAAATTGCAAGAAAAATTTCAAAAATGAGCAGAATATCACACCGCGGTACATATATATATATTGACTTCACAAAACAAGACTCATTAGAATGACGATAATATAAGTAATCAATCGTACTACTGTTGCGTAAACGCAATTACGGCGTACTTATTATCAGAAAGATACGAAATGCGGGCTCAGTCAGTAACATTTAGGCATGTAACACGACGCCGTAATAATATTTCATTCTAACTAAAATAGATAAAATGGTAAAAATTGCAATATTATGGATACGTACTATCGCTGTTCTAGATTTTTCTTTTTCAGTATAATTTGGGCCATATATGGAACAAAGCTTGAGGACAAATTATTGTTACCTTCCAAACTCAAACGCGGTTTTAACAAACAAACAAATAACATTGAAAATTGAAATAAACCAATTAACGTTATCGTTTTAGGCAACTAACTGACTGTAAACTGATTGTGTTTACAAATTTTGGAAGTTATTTTAAAATGCATTTTGTTTGCGCGATTCCTGGTCGACTTGCAAAATGTTAAGAGGTTACCGGTAACAGTAGAAAATTTTCTACGAAACGTAATGCGTTTTACCTTTTCAGTTCTGCATAAATAGGAAGTACACTGAAATGGCCGGAAAATGCAAAAATGATGATTGGAAGGCCATAAACCCACTGTAAATATAAAAAACTATATATATAAAAGGTGCACTACAAAATCAAAAATAACTGATTGACGAAGTAAAATTTCAAACTTTGTTTAATAAAGTAATCAAGTATTTTTGATATCCGCTCTAGGAGACCCTTATTATCAGCCGTTCTGTCTGAAAGTCCGGATAGAGGTTTCGTTTCCACGGCAACAACGATTAACACTCCGATCGCTATGAAATTTCTATTTTTTCTTAATTGATCGCCGCTTTCTTGCCAACCAAGTCGGAAATTAAAATTCCAAGAACGCTACTTTCCGCATAGGAATATACTCTTTTCAATAAGTCGTCTTTGGTCTAATTACTCCATAAACTGGAGAAGCCTCAGTGATTTTAGTGAATATTATTTTTTTCGATTTGCAACCACAGTATACCAGTCACGCGAGTTTGTCTGCGAAACGCGAAGCGCTTAAAATGAACTGGCATTTTTGCCAAACAACTCTCTTTCTTAATTGCGCCCCGTTCAAGATCCGCGAGTTTGTACAGATGGTAGTAGACAAGGAATCAGTTGCTTGAGTGCGAGTCCCAACTATCAGCGGAGATACTGGGCGCTTACCGGCTTGTCTGTCTATCTGTCAGTCTGTTTGGACGTAGCGTCTAAACGGCTGGTCCAATCTGGACGAAATTTTTCACGTGGGTTATCCTGTCTCCCTACTATTGTGCGTTAAAAGGGAAAATCCGGATTGGGGTTCCGTTTTCATGGCAACGACGAATAACGCGCCGATCGTAATGAAATTACCATATTTTCCACAATTTATCGCCGTTTTCTCGCCAACTGGGTTGAAAATTGAATTCCAAGAATGCTACTTATTGAACGTGAAAATACACTTTCCAACTAGTCGTCTTTGGTCTCGATACTCCATAAACGGGAGAAGCCTCAGCGATTTTAGTGAACATTATATTTTTTAATTTTAACCACCGCATATCAGTCACGCGAGTATGTCTACAAAAGGCGAAGCGCTTAAAATGAACTGGCCCTTTTGGCAACCCGCTCACTTACCTAAATATCATCAAGTTTCTATGGATGACAATCAGTTGCTTGAGTTCGGACCTCAACTACCAGCGGAGGACTGGGCTTGTATATCATAAAATTTGCTTCGATTGTACATTTTCGACATTTACAAAAATCTACTATCGTAAATATGATGAAACGTGATTTTAGAAAATTTGAAATCGGGAGCTATTATGGGTATATACTATATATGGGTCTCTCACGACTTGGTTCAAAAGGAATTAAGATTATATCTCACGTTATCAGTGTACTCAAAAACAGCTGCGTCGCACTGTTGTTCATCATGTTCCAGATGAAAGTTTGAAACACTACCATTAGAATAATGAAAATCCGTTTTCGACGCATTAGAAATCAAATCTCCACCTCCAAATCCAGGATAACTATCTTTCATATACGCAGTGACATTTTCTGATACCGTAAGATTGTCTATGATGCCCTTACTCAGCAAGGGACATGGTGTTGTGAACTTTTTGAAAATTACCTAGAAAGAAATTATATGGTATAAAGTGCACGCAATAACTGAGAAATGTGCTCAGCACTGTTAGAAGTAGTCAGTAAAAATATAAATATCCCATCTGTAATTATTACAGAAACGAACGAATATTCTTCCGAAATATCGAGTGTCTAGCAAAATCAATTGGATTAAACTAAACAGTATAGTAATAAGATTATTTCTGATAATAGGCTCGTAGACGAATTTGATTCTGATGCATCGTCAGAATCTGTTCAAACCAAACAAGTGACAATGTCAGATTAAGTCAAGCTTGGAAAAGTAATTGTCAATAATGCAAATTGTACAAATCAGACGAGGATGACATTTTGGTTTCGACATGTTGCAAATACTTACAGTGATTACGAAAAAAAACACGCACAGAATTGAGAATCCACTTGTGTATCCGAGAAATCGAATGTTCTTGAAAGATGAAAGAGGGACGATGACAGCACATGTTACAATAATTACAAGAATGTTTCCATCGTAGTACCAAGATCTGTTGAGACAATTTTTTTATTTGTTATGGAAATAATATTTAATAACAGTTGACTTTTACCTGATTATTCCGATTCAAACAAGTTTATGAATATAACCAAAGGTAATAATCACTTGCCTTTTTTATTCATTCATCTCTGATAAATCTAAATAGTAATTGTAAATATAGTTCTTACCCATCTGATTTCGTTTCCTCCATCAATGAAAGAATTACGTTAGGAAGTTCATATTTTATTACGAGAAGATATGATGAAATCAATCCAATATTTTCTCCAATGATACAAAGAGCAGCGATTATCTATGATAAAAGATAAATTATAAGTATAATGGTAAACAAGAGAGCTATGCTCAAATATATGGACACGTAGCGCCACCCAATGGCAATAATTTTGATGACGTCATAGCGAAAAAAAAAGTAATAGCCTTCTTTTATCTTTATCCACTGAAAATTTCAAAGCAATTGGTCCAGTATTCGAAGAGAAAAGCGATTTTTTAAAAATGATGGAGACAAATAACAATAACAACATAATATTGAAACGATCGTTATGTCCACTAAACGTGTTCAATAAACAGCATTATGCCCTGTTCCTGTACACTAAAAACATAATATCGATTAATACAAAATGAAAGCGTAAACAAACTTAGTCTACTCACTCTTCCAGAAAGTCCAAATGCTCTAAATCCTATTTTCTCATACTCTTTGACTCCAGTTTGCTCACACATTTTCAATAGCAGGTATATAGTGAATAACGCAACGGAAACAATGCAAACGGCGAATATGCTGTATAAATAAGCAAGGAAGCTATGTTCAAATATATGCGGACACGAAAAAGTAATCCCTTCTAGGAAAAATACAATCTTTAACCACTGAAATTTTAAGCAATTTTAATATTGGGAAAGGCGATTTTTTTTATAACGATAGAAAGAAATAATATGAGAACAACATAATAACAAACGATCCATAGGTCCACTTCGTGGTTAATAAGACAAAATGATTAGTTGAAAATTAAAAAAAATTAAATTTGTTCTTGGCTAGCTTTAATTAATGGAGGAATATTAGAATGTTTGAATAACGTGAACGCTGAATATGTTTTTTACAATTTTTTTAGCCTCATGATGTTGAGCAAAGTTGGAAACTTACAAAAACAAAAATATTCCTAGTTGTCCCATTGCATACGGTAAAGCCAATATCCCGGTTCCGAATAAAGCATTCACCATATTAAACGTGCTTAGAAGAAACGAAGCGGGTTTAATTCCATAAACGCTTTTCTGGTTGTCCATAGCGGCACCTTGTTCCGCCTTTATTGAAGAATAATTCCAAATAAAACGTTACACGATTTTAGAACTTATAATATAAGGATCACTGTTTTCGGAAAATTAGAGAATTACTACAGATATTACTTTTAAAGAAGTTTTTCAAGTTTCAAGGATTGACACAATTTGCATCGATGAGCTAAATAAAACTGAGTTGATGAGAATCACACAGAGACAAACTCTTGCACAAAGTAACTCGAAAATAAGAATCATTGGAATCAAAAAAATGTCATAAAGGGAATTTTCATCTTTCTTAAGCAAATTTCCAAAAACTGGAAATTTTCACTGTAGCATGCTCACCTGTGAATCAGATTCTGACATTGCATCTTTCGAGTTCGTCATTGTGATAAATGGTATTCTTCTGTCGACTTTATAAGTTTACGAAATTGAATATATTAGTTATGACTGATATTTAATGATATATTTACAGTAGCGTAATATATTGAAATTTTATTTGCAATATATAAACTAACCGTAAGAGTCATAAAATATATTCTTCTATTTATCTCAACGCGTTGTGGCCCAACATTGTACCTGGACATCTAACGACTCGACTTATATAGTATGCGTAAATCGCCAAACCTTCTTTTCATCAAAATATAGAATATCTAAACTCTAAAATTATGTAACGATAGAAATTATAGCAGTAACTTTATTTCCGATTAAATATTTTATCGCAATTTCATTTTTTTTATGACATAACGCAAAGGTTATCGTGCTGCTTATTATATAATGCAACACATTCGCTAACCTTATAAATTTAAATATGTGAAACAGTGACGAATAAATTCTAAAACTTCCAAGCTTAGACTTTTTATTTTTACTACTGTATTCAATACCCTTGCACACAAGTATCCAGATTAAATTTACTGTGAACTCAGGTAAAATAGGTGTAGCTCTAACTAAATAAATAATCAAATGTAAAAATTGACACACAAATAACTTTTTTTAAGTATACGATAAAAACAATAATAATTAAGCGGTTTAAATATTAGTTCATTAGTTTTTTTCACCCAGATTACATTTTGCAAAACATAAACCTAAATATTATGTTGCGTTTCATTTTTTAAGTACTCATAAATAGTTCAAATAGCATGATGTTAAAACGTTTCCAAAATTCCAAATTATTATACGAAGTTATATAAGTTTAACAGGTAGGTGCACTTTATTATGCAAAATAATTGATATGATTGTTTACTTATTTTACATTAGAATGAAACACTTTTATTCCAAAATACGTCAAAATAAAAGTCCTGAGCATGTTATTAATGACTTCAGTGTTATATTTTGATTTATGGAGTGGGTTAGTATGAGATGACTGCTTGCCAAACATGTTCCAACATGCTCTAATTCAGGGGTCACCAAACAACGGCCCGCGAGCCCGTGGCGTCCTTTCGTCTGGCGAATTTTTTTCCAAGGGATGTTTCCCCGAGCATCGATTTCCTTGTTTATTTCGTAACATTGGCCAATCAACAAGATGCAAAACGTGACGTGGCAATGAACCTTCTCGCATCCGCTCAGACACTTTTGTCACTCGGACAGATTTTCAGTCGTGTTTTCAAACAATATTTCGTTTTCGCGATTTTAAACGCTATTCATTAGTTTTTGAGAAATAGCTGTGATAAACAGGCTAAAAGCGTTGCTGTGTACGTTTCTCGTGCTAAAATTAACGTCGAACGTGCATATTGCGCTAATAGTACAAGTCACATAAACTTTTGTATTGTATTGCTTAGATGCGGATATTCATGACAGCAATTGTTTTGCTAACAGCTAATCTTAGGATAGAAATATTGTATATTTGTTTTGTTATGATGTTCCTAATCCTTATTCTGCAATATAGAAATTAATATTAACGACTTCAGAAATGTAGAATTTATATTGATGATGGATTTCCCAACTTTTGGGAATTTGTTGTATTGCATTGACAAAAATATTTGTCCGGCCCGTTTCAACACAGTTTGAGTTATACCTGGCCCGCAGCCAAAAAAGTTTGGTGACCCTTGCTCTAGTTGAACAGAACTTCAATTGAACATCAAGAAATGTCAATGTCTATTTTTACGTGTCTAGTATTTTGAATATACTCTGGCTTTTAGGATAATATACATCAATATTTAAATTCAACAAATTATATATTTTTTTTGCATATACGTTGCACATTAGACAGAGCACATCTATTTAAAGTGCGTTTCTTATTTGTAAATGTTTTGAATGTAGCGAGCATTGGTTTATATTTATAATGTACATGTCTTATTTTGATCGATTCGTTCCCATTGCTGACTGAACATTCTATAAAAATATTATTTGGATTAGAAAACCTACCCCAAAACAGTCCATTTCGGCTATCGCACTACTCCGAAATATTGATTCTGTAAAACAAAAACAACTTATGTTTAATAAATATAGACGAAATTATTGACGAGACTGCCCTTCGCCTCCGTTAAGCTTGTCTCTCTCTCTCTCTCTGAGAGTTAAAAGTGTCTTCCTCACATTCGTCCACAAATAGCAGCAGTAGTAAAGAAGTACCAGGCATAACAGTCCTACTGACATTCACCATTATTATTCTATACCTGTTACAACTTTATTTCCGCATAAATATTGCACCGCCTTTTTATTTTTTTTTTATACATATTTTCTCGGACGAAAGGATATCGTGCTGCTATTTATATATTGCAACACAGATAAATACTTTTCTCTTATCAAATTTTGTGCGATAGTTCAAGTTATAAGACATGTTCATAACTTGAGTGCAACTATATTTGCTAACCTAATGAATTTAAATATGTGGAAATGTGACGCAAGAATTTGGAAACCTTCAAGACTAGACTTTTTATTTTTGCTACAGTATTTAAATATCCTTGCACACAATTATTCAAATGCCGAATAAATAGCCCAGGGAACAGTGTACCCAGTTACACGCTACGACAAAAATTTGCATATTGTATGTGACTGGTTATTGAAAATTAAGTATGACATTTTGTCATAAACCCTGAAAGGCCCATTAAATTTACGTGAACTCATGTAAAGGAGGAGTAGCTCTAGCTAAATAAATATTCAAATGTAAAAATTGACACACAAATAACTTTTTTTTTAAATATACGATCAAAACAAAACAATTAAGCGGTTTAAATATTAGTTATTTTGATGACACATTTTCACCCAGATTACATTTTGCAAATAATAACCCTAAATATTGTGTTGCGTTTCATTTTGTATTCATAAATAGTTCAAATAGCATGATGTTAAAACGTTTCGAAAATTCAAAAAATAATATACGAAGTTACATAAGTTTAACAGGTAGGTGCACTTTATTATGCAAATTTATTGATATGATTATTTAATTATTTTACATTACAATGAACTTCATTTACAATGAACTTTACTTTTATTTTAAAATATAAATCCTGAGCATGTTGTTAATGACTCCAGTAATCAGAAATCGTCTGGAAATAGCTGTGATAAACCGGGTAAAAATCTCTGCCGGTACGCAGCGTTGCTGTGTACGTTTTTCGTGCTAAAATTAACGTCGAACGTGCATTTTGCGCTAATAGTACAAGTCACATTAACTTTTGTATTGCTTACATGCGGATATTCATGACAGCAATTGTTTTTCTAACAGCTAACCTTAGAATAGTTGTCTAGAAATCTTGTATATTTGTTATGATGTTCTTGATCTATATTTTGCGATATAGAATTTAATATTAAAGACTTCAGAAATGTAGAATTTATATTGAAGATGGATTTCCCAACTTTGGGGTATTCATTGTATTGCATTGACAAAAATACGTGTCCGGCCCGTTTTAACACAGTTTGAGTCATACCTGGCCCGCGCCAAAAAAATTTGGTGGCCCCTGCTCTGATTGAACTGAACTTCAATTGAACATCAAGAAATGTCAATCGAGAAATGTCAATGTCTATTTGTACGTGTATAATATTTCGGGTGTAATCTGGCTTTTAGGACAATATACATCAATTATTAAATTCAACAAATACGAATTATATAGTTTTAGGAGAAACATTTAATGTATAGACGTTGTACATTAGACAGAGAACATCTATCTTAAAGTGCGTTTCCTATTTGTGAATGTTTTGAATGTAGCGAGCATTGGTTTATATTTATTATGTACATGTCTTATTTTGATCGATTCGTTCCCATTGCTGACTGAACATTCTATAAAAATATTATTTGGACTAGAAAACCTACTTCAAAACAGTTCATTTCGGCTATCGCACTTCTCCGAAATATTAATTCTGTAAAACAAAAACAACGTATGTTTAGCCCCTCGCCTCCGTTAAGCTTTTGTCTCTCTCTCTCTCTGAGAGTTAAAAGTGTCTCCCTCAAATTAGTCCACATATAGCAGCAGTAGTGAAGAAGTACCAGCCATAACAGTCCTACTGACATTCACCATTATTATTCTAAACCCGTTACAACCTCATTTCCGCATAAATATTTCACCACCGTTTTATTTTTTTCAATCATATTTTCTCGGACGAAAGGTTATCGTGCTGCTATTTATATAATGCAACGCAAATAAATACTTTTCACTTATCAAATTTTGTGCAATATTTCGAGTTATAAGACATGTTCATAACTTGAGTGCAACTATATTTGCTAACCTAATAAATTGAAATATGTGAAAATGTGACGCAAGAATTTGGAAACCTTCAAGACTAGACTTTTTATTTTTGCTACAGTATTAAATATCCTTGCACACAATTATTCAGATGCCGAATAAATAGCCCAGGGAACAGTGTACCCAGTTACACGTTGCGATAATAAATTGCATATTGTATGTGACTGGTTATTGAAAATTAAGTATGACATTTTGTCATTAACTCTGAAAGGCCCATTAAATTTACGTGAACTCATGTAAAGGAGGAGTAGCTCTAGCTAAATAAATATTCAAATGTAAAAATTGACACACAAATAACTTTTTTTTTAAATATACGATCAAAACAAAACAATTAAGCGGTTTAAATATTAGTTATTTTGATGACACATTTTCACCCAGATTACATTTTGCAAATAATAACCCTAAATATTGTGTTGCGTTTCATTTTGTATTCATAAATAGTTCAAATAGCATGATGTTAAAACGTTTCGAAAATTCAAAAAATAATATACGAAGTTACATAAGTTTAACAGGTAGGTGCACTTTATTATGCAAATTTATTGATATGATTATTTAATTATTTTACATTACAATGAACTTCATTTACAATGAACTTTACTTTTATTTCAAAATACGTCAAAATATAAATCCTGAGCATGTTGTTAATGACTCCAGTAATCAGAAATCGTCTAGAAATTGCTGTGATAAACCGGGTAAAAATCTCTGCCGGTACGCAGCCATGCTGTGTACGTTTTTCGTGCTAAAATTAACGTCGAACGTGCATTTTGCGCTAATAGTACAAGCCACATTAACTTTTGTATTGCTTACATGCGGATATTCATGACAGCAATTGTTTTGCTAACAGCTAACCTTAGGATAGTTGTCTAGAAATCTTGTATATTTGTTATGATGTTCTTGATCTATATTTCGCGATATGGAATTTAATATTAAAGACTTCAGAAATGTAGAATTTATATTGAAGATGGATTTCCCAACTTTGGGGTATTCATTGTATTGCATTGACAAAAATACGTGTCCGGCCCGTTTTAACACAGTTTGAGTCATACCTGGCCCGCGCCAAAAAAATTTGGTGGCCCCTGCTCTGATTGAACTGAACTTCAATTGAACATCAAGAAATGTCAATCGAGAAATGTCAATGTCTATTTGTACGTGTATAATATTTCGGGTGTAATCTGGCTTTTAGGACACTATACATCAATTATTAAATTCAACAAATACAAATTATATAGTTTTAGGAGAAACATTTAATGTATAGACGTTGTACATTAGACAGAGAACATCTATCTTAAAGTGCGTTTCCTATTTGTGAATGTTTTGAATGTAGCGAGCATTGGTTTATATTTGTTATGTACATGTCTTATTTTGATCGATTCGTTCCCATTGCTGACTGAATATTCTAAAAAAAATTATTTGGACTAGAAGACCTACGTAATCTCACATAATTGAAATATAGGAGCAAAGAACATATATATCGGTTATCGGGATGTGCATTGGTTTACTGGTTGTTTTGATGATATCTTGCCGATGATGAATTGGCAATTTTAAAGCCGATATGAACGATATCTGAATTTAAAAAAAAAAAATATATTTAAAATTGGCACCCTACAAAGTGAATTCTAGTGATTACGACATTTCGGAAATCTAAATTTGCAATGACACACTGTTTCCAGAAAAAAAAATAAAAAATTTCAGCCCTTTCTATTTATCGGAGTATATGGATGGATGAGTATTGGTCGAAATCAGCTATATCGGATTGCTATTGGCAAGCTCGGTAAATTAGTTAGTAGCAACAGGACTGATTCCAATCCTTTTAATCACGCGAGAATTATCCCAGGCTCTTGTCAACAATCAGAAACGACAAATTTATGGAGTCTTTTTTGGGTATTCTTCCAATTTTAAGTTTTGCATAAAGAATTGCCATTATTGCTGATTTTATTGAATCATTATTTAAACACAAAATAACATCAGGATTTAGGCAGTGACTTTTCTGGGTTTTATTCACTATTTAATTCGCAAATAAAACATGAACAATATAAGATAAAATAATAAAAAGGTCAACTATCGTCTTCATAGATATCCGCATTCCGGCGTCAGAAATGGTAATATTGTTAGCTTAAAATTGAGACAGGTAATCAACAGACGCAGAGGAGAAAAACCGAAGCCGGCGCAAAAGATGAAAATCGGAATAAAATTCTGAATTCACTCCCTAATAGCTGTCTTTAGCATATGTCGCCGATATGAATGCATAGTTTTCCCAGGAATAGAAAGCCAAACATCGCCGTTCTATAATAATTGGTCTTTGTAAAAAAAAGAGGACTGGCGGAAATAACTCACCAACATTAGAATGTCTAGCGTTGTTGATTCCTGATGTATAGCCCTAACCCTGACCCGAAACGGGGAAGGGTGAGCAAACCGAAGCTCGTGGTCGGCGGTGCGTTTGAAAATCACGTATTGCCCGTGCGCCGCGCATTTTTTACAATAGCGTGAGGTGTTCCGAAGGCGCTCTCGTGTACTTTATTGTTAGAAAACAGTTCATTTCGACTATCCCACTATTCGGAAATAATGATTTCGTAAAACAAAAACAACGTATGTTTAACTATGGACGAAATTATTAACGCGACAGCCCCTTGCCTTCGTTAAGGTTGTCTCTCTCTCTGAGAGTAAAGAGTGTCTCCCTCACATTCGTCCACAAATAGCAGCAGTAGTAAAGAAGTACCAGGCGTATCAGTCCTACTGACATTCACCATTATTATTCTATACCTGTTACAAAATACATGTTATATATTATATTTCACATGAATAAAAGTTACTTTATCTGATCTACTTTGGGTGCTCCCGAAGTATGCGAACCAAGATGGCGGACATCGGAACGTAACATGGGTAACAGGTTAGGGTTAGGCGATAATTTTTTTCCAATTTTCCTTATTTTAGTCCTATTATCAGTTCGAAGACTAGCCAAGAGCCTCCCGTAGTATTTATACCTAAAATTATGGTCTAACCCTAACCTAGTACACATATTACATTCCGATGTCCGCCATCTTGGTTCGCATACTTCGGGAGCCCCCTACTTTGTTTATTATTATTTCATTGCAAAATGTCTTTATGCGTAGAAAATGTTCATTTTTTGTGATAGGTGTGCCCCGAATATTTTAAGTGCTCAATAGTGGCCGCAATATAAAAAAAAAGATTGGGAACCACTGTCTTAGATCATAAATTTAACCGACTGAGTTCATATTGACCAAATTGCAAGTGAACTAGCGTGCCATGCCTGAATTCAGAAATTTCCTACTAAAAAGTACAAAGAGCCAGTGAACCATCAATCGTTAAATGAGACTCTAAGGCTAAGCTCTTCTCCATACTCCATTGTTCACGACAATGTAGGAAATATTAGTTATTTAGACAACCTTTTTTATAGTAGTGTTCGTAAACCCCGAAATCGGCCCAAAAACTTCTTCTGAAAAAGTAGTTACATTTCGACGTAAAGTTCATGATTATTTATTTGCAATGAAGCGCGACAGCGAAAAACAACTTAGCCCTCAAGTAAAATCGCTTTGTGAAACTAGTTTTATAAATTGGTTTACATAAATACCGATATATAATTGCTCTTATTTTAGTTCAGGTTATTTTAATCGTAACACGAATAGAAATTGGCCCTGATATATTTATCGTCTTGCAAGAATTAAAATACCCGCTGTAAAATCTGTATTGAAGACCAGCGGGGTTCAACCATTGCTTGGTGGTTCAACTGAGTTACAACTACAATAAACAATATATATATACATATCTACAAACGTAGTATTAATATTGTTTCCTACACTGGTGATCTAAAACAATATAGGTGACTGTTGCTTCTTCGATGTTCAAGAATTTTGTATAAGTTGTTCCATCTTTTTTAAAACGAATATCCGAGAGGTGGGGTAAAATTTATCGGTCCGCGAAGCTTTTTTTGTCGGTCCGCGAGAAATTTCATTTTGTTGTTTTTCTGCCGTCTTAATTGCTTTACCGGAGCTGAAAAGACGAAGTTACGTTAGTTTATTACCAGTTTCTCTTCCGTCGGCATATTACTATTTGATAATTGCGGTATTAATGGCCCGGCGACATCTTGGCGCCGATTAATCACACATTTTGCTGGCACTTACTCACACCTGGCACTTAAAACACCAGCCCAAATATCCAAAGAAAATATATTTTATAACCACTACACCGTGTCCAATCAGATCATCACCACGAAACTCTTCCTATTATTCAAATTAATAACCATCAACCACAAAATCAAATTAGACATAGAGATGGTTGATCCAAACGAAGACAAAATTATCCAAAAAACAATTCTAAAATGGTTGGAATTTATTGAACAATTGGATCATAAGTTCACTCACACCTACACATCAGACCTGAATCCAAACTGGAAGGAAATACTCGCTGGTTACGACTATTAAAAAAAAAAAAAAATAGCCAAACAGAACAAATGCAACCAAAGTTTTTATTGTGCTCCCCATAACGGGTAGCATACTTCTGAGAAAAAACCATCTAGCGATTCCACGAATATGATGAATCGGAAGCTTCGCGGTGGATGTCATGCTGTGCGCGTGTTACACAGTGTGTACGGAAACCGGGCCGGTGGAAGTTGAGCTGTGATACGCGCAGCATTGACGGAAGCCCTGGGTGAACGTCATATTATCTGGCACATAGCATGTACAGTAGCCCACAGGGCAGAAGTTTTTGCCGTACCACTCATGGCAAATATGGAAGCCGGGGAGGCGGAAGTTGTGCTGTGCCCTGCATTGCATAGACAGAAGCCCCGGTTAAACGTTGTGCTGTGATATACAGCATGTGCCGAACCCCGGGGTGGAAGTCTGTGCCGTGCTACGGCTCAGCTGATACCGAAGCCTCCTTAAGTGTATGACTGCTGCTTACGCAGTGGTATGCTTACGAAGCGTTATACAGATATGACTCGGGTATGACGTGTCTTTTCAGACATTGATCCGAGACTTGGAAAGTTCTGATC